GCAAAGAAGATCTGTACAAAGGCTGGATGCAGATGAGATCAGAGTTATGAGATTGGACTACTTTGGAAAACCCAGTGCTAATAAATTTTTAATTTTGCTACTTGTAACTTTTGGGACCTGCTGGATTCATTTGGGTTATTTATGAGAAGAAAGTAAATTCAAAATTTAGTCCTGGCTGGTTTTCAAATGCCAACAATTTGGCTACCCTGGATGGAACATCAAAATGACAATGCCATCATAAATAAATCAGTTTACATAGAAACAATAAAAGGAAAACATTTGGTGATTCAGGTATATTAGGATTTCTCCAATTAAAGGATGACCTTTTCTTAGGTTTGCATCCCATATCACAGGCTATTTTATTGCTGTACATATTTATTTTCTATATACAAAATTATATGGGTACACGGCCAAGTGGTTAGAATGTTTGATTTCTGACTGAGACCCAAGTTCAAATCTCACCATGGACAATTGTTCTAGGAGGTAATTTTTCTGATGTTATTGAACTGGGGAAGCAAACCCAGCATACAGCACATTTGAAAACCATATCATACTTTCACCAAAGGTTTGGTCACTGGCCTTGTTAAAAAAAAAAAAAAAAAAAAAAAAAAAAATGATAATGCTAGATAATGTGCTCTCTCTCTCCCAGAAACTGTAACTGTGGTCTGCTCAGTATAGTTGCATTATAAATTGTGTGATGTCTGTTATAGGGTTGGCCTAGTCTCTGGCTGGCAGGTAGGTAGGTGTGCTTCGAAACAAGTGGTAACTGGCTATTATGTACATAGTTTTATCCGTGATGCAGTTATGAAGGTAGGGGGTCAGCTAACATTAACAGTTTATTCTACAAATTATTCTGTTATTCTTATTTTTGTGTAGGTGGCAGTAATATTCACTATTTCTTTTCTCTCCCTCCCGCTCCTTTCTTTTCTCTCTCTCTCTCTCTCTCTGCCACCCCCTTTTATGGAGTATAATGCCACAACCTTATTACACTAGATATTTATTACACAGGTTTTTTTGTTTTGTTTTTTTTTTTTATTATTGGATAGAGTTGCCAGTCCTATGCCCAACTAGATTTGAATTCAGAGTTTTCCCTTTTCTGGACTGGATGACAACCAAGACAAGTTTGCTCCTGCTATTTAACCCATAGCTGGATGGAGAAGAGATATATTCATGCCTTAACAAAATGTATTTGTGCAAAAGTGAATGCAATTAACTCTGCCAGAATTTGAACTCTGTTTACTGATTTTGCTTTCCAAGCCATTAACCATTACCCTATCTTCACATAATAAAAAAATGATTAGAAAAAAAAAAAAAAAAAAAAAATACACCTGGGTAAAGCTTCAAAACATACAAACTAAAATATGATGAAAAAAAAGTTGCTATTGCATGTAATTGATGAAATAATGAAAATACTTCATCTAAGAATTTCAGATGTTAATTTAAAAAAAAAAAAAAACAAATGTACATTTTTAGCTCATTAAAATCATACGATTTTTAAATGACATGGTAATTGATATCAGCAAATATTTTCTCTTGTTTTTGTAAGCATACTTGAATGTCGAACATTAATTAGATTGTCAATATTGAAAGTCAAAGGGATGGTTTACTTTAACAAATAAATTGCTTTCTTATGATTCTGTAATGTGTAACCCTGTGTATTGAGGATTCATTAAAGTTCATTAGCAAATAACAAAGTGGACACAATAAATTCAAAATCAATTAGCAAACAAATAAAGACTCATTGACAATATCATTTGCGGATTTCATTCTCTTGATTTAAATCAGTCATTCTCAAAGTGGACGATAATGCCCCACTCTACGAGGGCATTAGAAGGATTCAAGGGAGTAGTAGGAGACCTCAAAATCAAGGGAACATTTTTTTTTTTTATATGCAAAATCTTGGAATCGGGCCATTGTTCCAAAATATCAAGATTTTTGGTCATGAAACAATTTCTAACTGCAACTTTACTCACTGAAACAAAGTCAAAATGTTCTTTGCATTCTCAATGTCATATTTAGTAGTTTTAAAGTTACTTGACAAGGGGATCTGAGACATCTTCTTGGTGCCTTACAGCCCGATGTCAAGAAGCTGATATCCCTAAATCAAACACATGGATCTTGTTAAAACTCTGAATACAGTGTGTCTACAACTGAGGTGTAACTTATCCTTTCATATTATTAAATAAATTGGTTTACTTGCTTGAATTTTATCTGAAATGCATAGATTGTTTATCGTACTAACCACATACCTGTCCCACAGACAGAAAAGTTGTTATAAAATTTTTCTTCCTTTCTAAAGTTTTTGTATAAATATCTTCAGGAAGACATCAATTTCCTAACGTCCCTTATGTCATTATGCCAAATCCAAATGTATTTCCTAATCTAGACATTTATAAATAGAACTGACCATAAGAGAAACATTTGAATAATTTTATATTAATAATAATAAAAATTATTAAACTTACTGTTTTTAAAAATCTAAAACAGATTATTTTAACTTATTTATATAATTCTATAAATTTTTTTCCACTTTGTTTCACTAATTTGTAGTAATGGGTAACATCAGACAGCAACAATTCTTATTATGAACACTAGATTTTCTTACATACAACAGAATTTATATCTAAATTCTTTCTATATAGATAAACCTATATGAAATGCTGATAAATGTTACATGTTAACAATACAGGTCATTTTGTTCTACTGATGTAATGTGGGGACATACAAAGAAAATTTTGCCTTACACAAATTTATAAAAGATTATATTTAAAGTTAACCTAACATCAGGAAAGAGGTGTTTATTTCATGTGTGGGCTGCGGTGTATTTGGAATGTGGTTTGGGAGGCAAGTGGGGTGGTAGTCATAAAAACTTTGAACTACTAACTTAAATCATTAACAACGGAAAGGAAAAATGTTTCCTAAGTAAAGCTGAGTAAATAATATTGTATTATGTTATTATCCAATAATAAGCATGTTATGATTTAAAATAAAAGAAATGATGTTAAAATGAAGATGCTGAGATTTTTTTTTTTTTTTTTTTCAAAATTTTATTCAAATTGGACTTTAAATTTCTAATAAGATTTTTTTCCATTTGAGATGAATGATGACATTTGGATATTTTTTTTTTTTTTCACAGTTCATATTGATATTGCAACAAATTATGCAGTACTTATTTCAATTAACCACCTCACTTAGGACAATTACTTTGCTACTTATGTAATAAGAAAAAATAAAGTAAAAGTTTTAGTTGGCAATAATATAGGGTGTTCCAATAACTTGGACCGATTTTAAATGTGAATTAAATTTAAGCGTCTAATGATTTTTTTTTTTTTTATTTCTTTTAGATTTAACAACTTTTGTCTTTGGCAATTTCAACCATAGAAAGATTAACAATCAAACAGCGTGTTAGTTATCGAAGCCTATTACAAAAATGGATGTCTGAACAGAAATGCATTTCGCACACTTCACGTGTTTTGATCAACATAATCAACCAACCGAGAGTGCAATTGGAAAAATTGTTCATAAATTCAAACAAACTGGGTCAGTGGCAGATATGAAAACACCATTGCATGCTTGTTTATGCTGATCAGCTGAAAACATTGTTTCAGTGCACGAGAATGTAGCCCCAAATCCAGACACCTATATTCATTGCGCACAGGAATTGAACCTCTCCACAACAATGTTACATGGAATTTTGACAAAAGATTTGTCTCTACATGCTTACAAAATTCAATTGACACAAGAACTGAGATCTGCTGACCATTTGGAGCTCCATACATTCATCAATTGAGTACATGAGTAAAGACAAGCCGATGAAGACTTTTCACAAAAAATCCTTATTAGTGATGAAGCCCATTTTCATCTTGGTGGATTCGTTAATAAGCAGAATTATCATCTTTGGGCTGATGAAAATCCAAGGAAGATTATTGAAAAGCTACTGCATCCACAAAAGGTCACTGTTTTCATAATAGGCTTCAATAACTTTAACACATTGTTTGATTGTTAATCTCTCCATGGTTGAAATTTCCAAAGACTTAAGTCGTTAAATCTGAAAGTAAAAGAAAAAAAAACATTAGACACTTAAACTCTGTTTATGTACATGAGAAAATCATGGAAAATTGTAGTTTAAAAACAGTAAAATCGACCTTGCTAACTGAACACTCCTCTGTGGCGAAATTGGTAAAAGCATGTCAAGCTATATGACGGTTCTGTATAGGATACATGTTCGATTCCTGTTGGAGGATGCATATTTTCTATGACAATTTCTCGGATATTCAGGCCAGTAAATGTTGTTAATACTGTTTATTATAAACAGAGCATTTACTTAAATATTTGTATCTATAAAAAAGAATGTATAAACATAAAAATGTCTTAAAATAATTGTCGAACTTTCATAATATATATATTTTTTGGATATAGTGTGCAAGAACTATCCAAATGATATTTGGATCCAAGCACTTTGAGATAAACTATTAGACATTATCAAAGATGTTTTTCTTTGTTTTTTCTTTTTGTCTGAATATGTAGTTTGTTTTTTTGGTTTTTTTTTTTTTTTTTTTAAGCAATAGAAATGTTTTAATTCTATTGGTATAAAAATATCTACAAATTCAGAATAACAAAACCACATCCATAATGGCTAATAGATTAGCTGAAAGCATTCAGATTTAAAGATCATTTGGTTAGTTCTTACACACTCTGTCAAAATAGAAATTGCTTGGACATATTTAAGAAAAATATTATAAAAAGCTTAATCACAGTGCATTGTTCGTCATCTTCAATGGAATCAGTATGAAAGAATTGCTGCCCAAATACACACACACACACACACTTCATTTGCTAAGCTTAGCTAAGTTTGGCACAATGCCACAAATATGAGGAACCTATTGAGGATTAAACATTATTCAGTTGTAATGACCAACCAGTCTGTCTCAAAACGTCCGAAGGGCTTCTTTCAGTTGTAATGACCAACCAGTCTGTCTCAAAAAGGGCTTCCAGTTGTAATGACCAACCAGTCTGTCTCAAAACGTCCGAAGGGCTTTTTCAGTTGTAATGACCAAAACCAGTCTGTCCAACCAAAAACGTCCGAAGGGCTTCTTTCAGTTGTAATGTCTCAAAACGTCCAACTTCTTTCAGTTGTAATGACCAACCAGTCTGTCTCAAAACGTCCAAGGGCTTCTTTCAGTTGTAATGACCAACCAGTCTGTCTCAAAAACGTCCGAGGCTTTTTCAGTTGTAATGACCAACCAGTCTGTCTCAAAACGTCCGAAGGGCTTCTTTCAGTTGTAATGACCAACCAGTCTGTCTCAAAACGTCCGAAGGGCTTCTTTCAGTTGTAATGACCAACCAGTCTGTCTCAAAACGTCCGAAGGGCTTCTTTCAGTTGTAATGACCAACCAGTCTGTCTCAAAACGTCCGAAGGGCTTCTTTCAGTTGTAATGACCAACCAGTCTGTCTCAAAACGTCCGACCAAATGACCAACCAGTCTGTCTCAAAAACGTCCGAAGGGCTTTTTCAGTTGTAATGACCAACCAGTCTGTCTCAAAACGTCCGAAGGGCTTCAAAAACGTCCGAGGGCTTTTTCAGTTGTAATGACCAAAGTCTGTCTCAAAACGTCCGAAGGGCTTCTTTCCAACCAGTTGTCTCAAAACGTCCGAGTTGTAATGACCAACCAGTCTGTCTCAAAACGTCCGGGCTTCTTTCAGTTGTAATGGGTCTTCTTTCAGTTGTAATGACCAACCAGTCTGTCTCAAAACGTCCGAAGGGCTTCTTTCAGTTGTAATGACCAACCAGTCTGTCTCAAAACGTCCGAAGGGCTTTTTCAGTTGTAATGACCAACCAGTCTGACCAACCAACCAGTCTGTCTCAAAACGTCCGAAGGGCTTCTTTCAGTTGTAATGACCAACCAGTCTGTCTCAAAACGTCCGAAGGGCTTCTTTCAGTTGTAATGACCAACCAGTCTGTCTCAAAACGTCCGAAGGGCTTCTTTGTGTTGACTTTTGTAATTTGGAAAAAAAATTGGGTGATCAAGCAAATTAACTGAGGTGTTGGATGACAGATTATATATTTGTCTGTGCATCACTATTTTCAAGATTTCCATATGCCATCAGTGCCGCTTGATTAGTATCAATCTTGAACAACTTTTCATACAATAATTTCATTCCTTCCTCTGTGTTTAATTTATTAGGATCCATTTCCAGCACTGCTTCTTTTGACTCAAAAACACAATTGGCACTCTTGAGGGCTCTCTAAGCCAATACATCATTTGGCAACTTAATATCATGTTCACTGAGTTGCTGAACCATATGGTCAAATTCTATAAGGAAATCAGAGATGGTGATATTTTGTGGTCTTATATAGTTTTCAAGATTTCCATACGCCATCAGAACCGCTTGATTAGTATCAACCTTGAACAGAGAGTCCAACTTTTCATGCAATAATTTCATTCCTTCCTCTGTGTTTAATTTATCAGGATCCATTTCCAGCACTGCTTCTCTGGCTTTACCATTTTGACTCAAAAACACAATTGGCGCTCAATTTCTCATATCTATATTTGTCGCCATTTCCCAGAACTTCATTTCTTTTTTCTAAGCATGGTACTTTTCTGGGATAAGCACTGTTGAGGTTAAAAACTTAATATTTGTAGCCATTTTTCTTTGCTATTTTTTTTTTTTTTTTTTTAATGAACCATACTCTGCTACAAGGTGTCAAAACAGGATCTTGATTAATAAACTGAGTGGCAGAACTTCATCAAACAGTGGAGAAATTTCAATAAACTTAATTTTAAATCCATTTTGGCAGGAAGGGAGACAAGCCTGCTACTGCCACTGCTTAGAACACATCCATTAAGCTTAGGACTGGGAGTCTAATACCCACAGAAATTTGTTAGCCAAGAATGGCAAGTTAAATCCTTAGTAGCACCACAAGAGTCAGCATAGTTAACAGTAGCAACCACAACTGCCTGGCAGTAAGGCATTGTGGGTAAAGGTTGGTGGTTATAAAATAAGAATCAAGACAGGGAGAATTCTTTCATGGTAAGGCAGGAAGTTATGTTCTCATTGAGACCAAATTTGTGAGGTGTGCCTCGCCCTTATTCTTCTGTCCCAAAACTACAGTTTATAGAAACCCAATGCTTATATTTTTTCATAAACAAAATGAAAAGTAAATGATTAATTGTTTTATTCAACGATGGGAAGCTGTTAAACTTTTTTCGTTAAACTTCTAATCCAAAGCCATTAAGACTTTTGATGTAAGAAACAAGAAAAGATTATTCAAATGTAAAAAAATATAATCTCTTAAAGACATTTAAGTTTTTCCATCTCATCAGATCGAACATTTCTGTTCAGATTTCTGGGATGAGAAGTTATCATTATTTACTGTCGGACTAACATCTTCATCTTTGTTATTGTAGTTTGAGGACAGAAAAGTAAAGCTTAGATTCAGCTTAGTGTTAATGGGAATGTAACAATTTTTTTTTTTTTTCTGCTATGCCAACTGCTAGCCTTTCATACTCTATTTGTCTTTCTTCCCCATTTCACTGCTTTCCTTCGACAATACATCTACACAAGTCTCACAATCATCAAAAAAAAAAAAAGCCCCCCCCTCACTTGTGATTCTTCTTTTATACCCACTAGCCTTACCCACAATCCCCCACTCTCATTGGTTGTGGTCACCATTACCAATATTTAATCTCTCACCCTACATCTCAGTTCCTAATAGTCTCTCTCCCCCCCCCTCTGGAGTAATAGGTAACTTTCAAGGAATTATTAATTGAATTTTAAACTTGGGGTGGGGAACTTATTCTTGTTCTACTTGACCATATCTAAGGCTATCTCATCTTGTTCTTTTTAGTAATCCTCATTCATTACTTGTCCTATTTCTACTGAGACTATCTGTACTTCTCGACCCAGGGATTGAACTCACAATTATTATACCACCAAATTCACAAACCAACAATTTAATCCTTTTGAGGATTAAAGCTACCTCCCTGAAGAATATCTGGATTGATAGATACCATAAGGAGGCTATAGGATATAACAGTCCAAATGTTGTGAAGATGAGGATATTAGTCTGACTGTAAATAATATCATTAGAACCCGATTGTTCACAATTATTTCATTAAAAAGACAAAAAAAGTAGTGTCTTGAGAAAACTTAATTTGATATCATTTGAAACAAACTGATGTTTAAGGGAGGTAAATTTGACATGAACTTTTAAATTTTCAACTTCATAATTATTGGCTTATTTTGTGCTCAGAACTAGCAGTATTTATTTGGCTAAGTCATCTTTGCTAAAAAGCCTATGAAATACTCAATGAAGGGATCAAATTCATGGAGCTTTCAATAAGGGTCATTCACAATTGTGGAATTAGCATACTAGTTATCAATCTACATTAGGGTCCCAAAAGTGTTTTAAAGATACAGTGGGTTAATGATCTGCTGAGATTGTAATTTGATCTGAGTAATGTTGAGCTGAATTACAAAATCAAATTTAGTTCCCATGCAATGTTTATTCTTTTGATGTTGGTTGTTTGTGAAATTTTCCTTAAAATTTTTAATTTCATTTCTCCTATGATTTTCAGTCATATTAACTTTGCAAATACAGGAACTTTTTTCTTTTTCTCTTTCTTTGCCCCCACCATTTTTTTTTTTATTAGTAATTATTTCTGCTCAAAGATTAACCCTCTTTAATCTAAATATTTAATTAAATTTTATAATTATGTAGTCAAAATCATCTGTAACGTTATCATATTTAACTTTTCCTTTTTATTTTTTTTCTTTCTTTTCTTACTTGCATCATGTCACATTAATTTATTATGAACACAAGTTTGAATCTTTCTCTAAGTTTGGAAAATGTCAAAATTTATTTTCATTTGACTTGGTTTCTTCCTGGGATTTTATTTATTTATTTTTTTTTTTTTTTTTTTTTTAAATTGTTCCAATTTAAATTATTTTTGTTTTTATGATTGTTATTCAGCTGATTTCAATAATAAATTCCAGATTCCACAGAAATGCATGAAAAAATATTTACTAAGCATAGTTTATTCTTTCTATGTAAATTTCTAGGATGAGGAGTTATCATTATTCACGTGTAGACCATTGTTCCTATAATGTAGATAAAGCTCATTTTGGCTTGAGAGACTGGTACTAAGAATATTCAGCTTTCTGACTACATCACAATGAAACCCTGGTTCCTGTATGATCACCAAAGTTAAGCAACATTAAACCTGGTCAGTACCTAGATGGTTGACCACTTAGGAATACCAGGCGCTGGAAGTTCTTCAGTTGTATATTGATCTGGGTAACCTACAGGGAATTCTGAACTGAACCCTTTATTTTAATCCGTGTGTAGATTGTTCTTGGTCCACTGATCATGTCAAAGGATATCTTATGTAATTCTTAGTTTTATTTAGTACTTTTCAGTTATTACTCATCCATTTCCACCAAGTACAAGAACACACTGCCTGACCCAGAAATTGAACTCATAACCACTATGTCACTAAATTCATAAACCAACACTTTTATCTATTAGGTCATTGTCCCATAGGACAATTTGCTATAGTGAACTTAGAAACAGGCATGCTTGTAGATTAAATAAAGGATTCAGTGGAGAATACCTTGTAGGTTACCCAGATCAACATACACCTGAGGAAGGTCAGAGAGTACAGCAGCCAAAAGGTTGTGATAACAACAACCAAGATGAAGACAATAGTCCAAATGTAAATCGTGTAAATAATGATTTTTTTTTTTTTTTTTTTTTTTTTCCAGGTTTAAATTTTCCAAAATTCATCTGCCATAATACCTCACTGCAAGTCCATTAGAAATTAGATGGTTTACCTCACTCTCAACAACATTATTAAGTTTCCCTTTTTATGACCATTAAATAACTTTCAATATTTAATAGAACGCTGTCAGTCACTGTTAACTGAGATAGGAAGTTATGGTCTTACAAGCTTCATTAACACCACCATAAAATCTGTTATGAATTATTTTGTATGGTTAATATAAAGTGAGTATAAATGTTAAAACAATTTACAAAGTTACACTGCTAATAAAATGTCTTCCTCAACCTCCTTCTTTTTAAATAGCTGGTATCTTTGTTTTATTTTTCCCCACTTCTTGGGTAAGAAGTTTTTAAATTAAAGTACTAAAATAATTTTATGCCAGGAAATTGCTATTGGATAGACCTTCCATAAAGAATGAATGAAGTGATATGAGGAAATTAAAATCTTGTAGTTCTTAATTCAGCATACTGCTTGCTACCTCACAAGTGTTGAAAGATAATTTACAAAATTTTAGGCATTTAATAATGGCTCAAAACTAGTGTAGAAAGGTTTTGATAGACATTTTTTCTTGAATATTTATAGACCTATTTTTGTCTTTCCAATGGTTGGCTGTTTCTCTCCCCCTCTCTCCTTCTCTCTCTCCCCTCTCTCCTTCTCTCTCTCCCCTCTCTCCCTCTCTCTCCCCCTCTCTCCTCTCTCTCTCCCTCTCTCCTCTCTCTCTCCTCTCCCTCTCTCTCTCCCCTCTCCCTCTCTCTCCCCTCTCTCCCCTCTCTCTCCCCCCTCTCCCTCTCTCTCCCCTCTCTCTCCCCTCCTCCCTCTCCCCCTCTCTCTCCCCCCTCTCTCTCCCCTCTCTCCCTCTCTCTCCCCTCCCTCTCTCCCTTCTCTCCCCCTCTCTCCCTCTCTCTCTCCCCTCTCTCCCTCTCTCTCCCCTCTCTCCCTCTCTCCCCCCTTCTCCCTCTCTCTCTCCCCTCTCTCCCTCTCTCCCCTCTCTCTCTCCTCCTCCTCTCTCTCTCTCTCCTCCTCTCTCCCTCTCTCTCTCTCTCCCTCTCTCTCTCTCTCTCCTCTACTTTAGGTCACAGGGTGTGAAAGAATTAGGAACAGAAACATTAGTAATGAGTAAAAAGAGTAATTAGCACAGTAGATAGTGTTTGACATTGCATTTAAACATTTGGAGATTAAAGCTGGCTGGAAATCATGGAGCTGGAAGGAAGTTCCACAAATGAGAAAAACTCCTAGCATAGATGTTACAGCAACATCTAGCTAGCTGAACTGTAAATTGATGAAATCTCACTGCCAGTCTAGTATTATGCTTAAATTCATACAGTCTTGGTACTATAGCATAGAGCTCATATGAATAATTTATAAAAAGGCACAGAGGCAACCTTCAGGCAATGAGCAAGTGACTGAAGCTGAGCCACCAGATCAGGTCCTATGATATTGCTGCTGCTTTTTTGGATCTTATCAAGGAGCTCCAGGTAAATAGCAGGGTTACCAGACCATATATGAGGACAATATTCTAAACCTGGATGAATAGTAGACATAGATATGCAAAATAGATTCCAGAGAGAAAGATAAGAAAAAAAAATGGTTTCTTGTTCATGACTGCTGAATCAGAGTGCAGATTACATGTTCCAGGCAGTGGATAAATTGAATGTCAAAGAATATTGGCAATTCTTTATCTCAAAAATTAAAAACTATGTTAACAAACATTTAGATATGTTGATGTTGAGAAGCAATTTCTTGGCACATTTCTTTCTTGAGGTTTTGCTTTCAGCATCAAATTCTAGGCATAAGGATTTATACTAAATTTTAATTTGACTTTCTCAGAACAAAGAAATCGATTATTTGACAGAAGAGATGGGACAGAAAAGTTATGTCAAAAAGCCACCAGCCTCTACAGAGACCAACTAAATGTTGGCATGAAAGGATTTCTTGAAAGAAAATCTGTCAAGACTACTTGCACAAAGAGAGAAAAACTGTGTCTCATATTATTTGGTGGCGGGGGGGGTTCAGATCTGAATTGATTACACAGGATTGTAAGTGTAATTATTTCTTTGAGATCAAATCTATTTCTCTCTTTTTCTTTCCCTCATTGTTACTTGTAATTTAGTGTTGGCTCTCTCTACACATTCTCTTTGTGTGTTTTTATATATATATATATATATATATATATATATATATATATATCTCTGTACACCATTTGTCTCTCATATATGGAGGGCACTCTCATTGTTCAATGACCTATGAGGGTCAGTCAGCTGAGTTCTTAGAACCAACAGCCAGACTACCTGTACATATGATTTGATTATAGTGGTGAAGGCTTGTGCAGGACCAACCACGCTTTTTCGGAGAGTTGACTACAGAGAACATGTGCACAGCATACCAAAAAGTCCCTAAGTGACTCTTTTTGGGTTTTGAATTCAAAGTTGTCCTTTTCCTAGACCAGTTGCCACCCAAAGCTATAGGACCTAATCTGTCCTGCTGTTTACTCATAGGTGAGATGAAGGGGATGAATTCATACCTTTCAAAAAGATATTAGCATATGTAATGAACTTGACTGGAATTCAAACTTAGCTTTCCAATTGCTCAATCCAAATTGACAAACTAATATGTGTGCATACAGCCATCCATCCATCCCCATCCATCCCCATCCATCCATCCCCATCCATCCATCCCCATCCATCCATCCCCATCCATCCATCCCCATCCATCCATCCCCATCCATCCATCCATCCCCCATCCATCCATCCATCTCCATCCATCCATCCATCTCCATCCATCTATCCATCCCCATCCATCCCATCCATCCATCCCCATCTATCCATCCCCATCCATCCATCCCCATCCATCTATCTCCATCCATCCCATCCATCCATCCCTATCCATCTCTCCATCTCTATCTCTATCTCTCTCCATCTCTCTATCTATCTCTATCTATCTCCATCTATCTATCTCTCATCTATCTATCTCTATCTATCTATCTCCATCTATCTATCTCATCTATCTATCTCATCTATCTATCTCTCATCTATCTCTCTATCTATCTATCTCCATCTATCTATCTCCATCTATCTATCTCTATCTATCTATCTCTCATCTATCTCTCATCATTCTATCTCTCTCTATCTATCTATCTCTCTATCTATCTATCTCTCTATCTATCTATCTCTCTATCTATCTCTATGCCTGCCACCTTGTCTCTCTCTTTACTTCAACCAGCAAAACCTCCTTGGTCTTTTAGCAAAAATAATATTAATACTGCTCTATAAAGTCCACCTTATGGTCACATGTTGAAACACTGGTTCCTGTACAATCACTAATGTTAAGCAACATCAGTCCTGGTCAGTACCTAGATGGGTGACCACTTAGGAATACCAGGTGCTGTAAGATTGTATGTGTGGGTAGTGTGGTTGATAATGGCTCAAAATTGTTAATTGAAGAGCCAAATTCCAATTCCAGTTGGGTCCATTATATTCACTTATGCACAAATACCCTTGGGAAAGGTAAGAATCCACCTCTTCTCCCCCAGCTATGGGTTAATCAGTAAGTTGTATTGCTAAAACATTATCTAAAAAAAAAAACTTTCAGTCTAGAAATATTTTCTGGCTTTAAATAAACTGCAATGGGTTGATAAGCCATAAGAAACAAATAAATCAGTCAATCTATAGATAAGTCTAAAGCTGTTGATAATTATTCAGTTTTCATAAGACAATTGCTTATTGGAGGCTGGATTGATTCTTTCTTTGTAACACACGTACTTTTATTACTGGAAAAGAAGATAATAAAAATTGATATCCTCTTTGAATGCAGTTTTAAAACTCTTCATCATTTGTTAATTCAAGAATATTTAAGTTTCTTTTAACTGTTATTTATTCAAACAAATTTCCCAGTGAACACATTCCAGTGTTCACTAAGAAAAGCTTATTTTTTTCTCTTTTTTTCTTTCTTTTCCTCTGAAGTGATTTACAAGGCTAATTTGCAAAACTTGAAAAAAGAGGTCATTGTGAGCTGCTAACAAGTGCTACTTGAAACAGGATGCAATGATAGTATCAAAAGAAATTGTTCAAATCATTCAAAGTGATGTCATCAGAAAGCAACACAAAACTGAAATTAGGATGGGAGTTATGTAAATAAATGGTGTTTGTTTCGGTCACAAACTTTGGTTAATTTTAAAAAAAATAAATTTCCTGCAAGAAGATTAAATGGCATAACCCTTTAATTTCTTTTTGGTAATTGTTAATTAAGGCTAAAATAAATTGTCTGTCTATATTTCTGAGATGAGGTATTATGTACACTATTTATATTATTCGGCCTATTGTCCTCATTTTTGTCACCATATTTATTACATTTCAGCCGTTGTACGCTCCGACCTTCTTCAGGTGGTTGGAATGTCAAACTGAACCCTTTATTTTGCTCACTGGGGTAGACTGTTCTAGTTCAACGTGCCATGTTTAATGGATGTCAGTTATCAGTTATCGCTTGTTAATTCCCCTCTCCAAGTTCTCCACTGCCTTAACCAGAGTGCCAGAGAAAAGCGGTAATAACAACAAAAAATGCAATATGAGCTCTGGTAAAAACATGAATTGATAACAGCAAAAATTGCAATATGAGCACTGGTAAAAATGGTTGCTGAAGACATTAGGATTATAATACACAGAAATTCATACACAGATGTCCTCAAGAACACACAGCACAGTGGATAAAGGTGTTAGTTAGATCCAGTGACAGGACCCAAAGAGTGTGAGTTCAACACTCGGTTAAGGCATTAAGTTCAATACTCAGTTAAGGGAATTAACAGGCAATAACTGACATCCATTAAACATGGAACTAGAACAGTCTACCCCAGTGAGTGAAATAAATAGTTCAGTTCAACATTCCAACCACCTGATGAAGGCCGGAGCGTACAATGGCCGAAACGTTATAATAAATATGGCAACAAAGATGAGGACAATAGTCCGAATAATGTAATTAGTGTAAAATAAATTGGTTTCATTTATATGGTTCTACAACAGGATGCTAAGAATACCATGGATGAAGCATGTAAGCAACAAGGAAGACTGAAGAAAAATTGAGACCAAAAGGATGCTTACACTTAAAATCAGAGTGAGTATGAAAATTCTGAGACAATTAATGAGGAAAGTAGGCTTGGAAAATTTGACACTCACAGGAGTATAACTTTTTGTTCTGCATTTATTGCTGGAGAATTTCCTCATAGATGAAGAAAAAATGTCAAGCCAAGAAAAATGTGGTTCTACAGGATGCTGAGAATACCATGGATTGAACATGTTGGTAAAGATAAAATTTTAGAGAAAATAGAAACAAAGACTCGGAAAGAGAAAGATGAAATTTCTGTGACTTATAATGAGGAGAGTTAAGTTTGAATTCCAGTCAACCCTACCCTTGGGAAATATATGAATCCATCTCATCTGCTCCCTCCCTCCCAGCTGTAAATTGACTAGCAGGACAGATTGGATCTTATAACCTTGGGTGGCAACCAGTCTAAGAGGAGGACAATTCTGAATTCAAAACCTCTAACTATGGGTTAAATAACCTCACCATTTGGTCCTCAGTTGTACCATGTATGGAATATACTAATATTCTGATATAATCAATTTTTATATTATTTTTCCTTTATTATTAATATTTTAATCATTTGGACAATCCCGTCAGATGTGAATGACCTAGAGTTCAATGACAGGCTGAAAGATAAGAGGAAAGTTAACTTTGACAAATGTTCCTCTTCCTGAACGATATCCTGTTTTAAATACTTTTCTTTTCAGTATTTCATTATTCTTCAGACTACCACTAAAAAAAAAAAAAAGAAAAAAAAATGAATTGAACAAACATGGAGAAACCTGCTCACAATAAACCATAGTGTCAAAAGGTTGGATTTTCCCCATAACACCACTTTTTTAACTACCTTCATTCTTCTGCAATGTTTATTGTTTTAAAAAGCAATGATTACAATAGTAATAATGGAAATGTAGCCAAGTGGTTCGAATGTTCGTATTTTGACCATGTGACCTGGGTTTGAATCTCACCATGGTTGATTTGTCAGGAAGGAGACATCCAGCATTCAGCTATGATGATTGCAATAATGCACACACAGTTAAAAAGAAAAATTTCAAGAACAAAAGCAAAATGAAATGTGGAAAAAGTTGAGAATGATGTTAGAAGAGAAAGAATCATTATGCAACAGCGATTTTAAAAATAAAAAAAAAAATAAATTTTTTTTTTAAATCCTTGTTACATTATTTGTTTTGCATACATGGCATACTTAATTTAAGGAATTTTCATTAACATGATTTATTTCTTTTTCCTTAAAATCAATTCCGTTATATTTCACACAACATGAGCTTATTTTGTTTACTGTTAAACATTGAAAGTAAATATTAAACCTGATTTCAGTTCTTTTATTCTGATCTAAATATAACCCCTCATATCCGGACTTTGTAACCAATTCCTCATATTTGGAAGGCCACCTTAGTCCAGTTGTCAGTCATTCTACTATATATATATATATATATATATATATATATATATATATATAATGAAAGAGACAAAGAAAAACTGTGCTTAGCTGATGCATTTCATCCTCTGAGGGACTTTATCAGCCAATGTAGGATTTATTTTGTTGCACGTGTTTATATTCAAAAGTGAGGATGTCATAGATTTATCAAGGCTTTTAAATTTGAGAATGTTCATGAATGTTCAAGTGGTTCAAAGGTCAGTCAAAACAGGACAGTGTCAGAATTCAAAGTTGGGTAAAAAGTAAGCAATTAATATTCAAAAATTTTTTTTTTTTTTTTTTTTTTTTAAATGAATATTATTTAAATTGGGATTAGACTGTTATAGTATGAGATGGATGGCTGGATGTAATGGATTTAACCATTTTCTTTTGATTTTTCAACATATTTGTACTTGTGTATTTTGACATGGAAAAGTAATACTTTCCTGAAAGGTGAGATGGGTAACTGGTGCACAAATTTATATTTCTGACCTTTCAATCACCTGATGAACATGCATGAATGTTTTCAAGTTTAAAAACATTGATAAACCAATGACATTGTTGCTTTTTCTTCTTGTCTCTTTTTATTCATTTACAGATACTCTATCCGAAAATATATATATATATATATATATATATATATATAAAATTTATTTTAAAGGTAACAAATCTGTTGGTATATAATCCTAGTAATATAAAATATTAAAACTGATCCATGAAAAGAGCTCAATGTATTTATCATTACAGAGCAATATAAGTAATAAACAATAAAATCCGAAATTTCTTCATATGGGGAATAGCCTATATTGGCAGATGAAGATATTGGTCATCTGTCTTATCAACCCAGGTGTGGACTGAGTTTGTGTCAGAAATAGACATTTAACTGTGAAAGTCTTTCGTCTAACTGAAACATTGAAATGAATAAATGGATGCATTTAGCATGAAACAGCCTGTCACCTCTGAGTGTTGACTTCAATGTTCACTTATATCCATCCATTCAAAATATTGACCTTCCTACAACCATTGTTTCTGCCAAGATGGCTTTGTCAGGAAGCAAAACCATGGTTGCAGAAAAGTAAGCGTTTCAAATATTTTATATCTTAACTTGCTCATCATCTTTGTTTTATGAAAAATGTATTGAGCACTCTTTTAATTTAGTCATTCTTTTGGCAAATATCATTTTTCTTTTTTGCTAAAGATGTAATTCATAATTATATACGATATCTGGCTGTTCTGTCAAGGAGTATTTAAAACTCTTAAAATTGAAGTCAATAAGTAAGCAATATATATATTCTTCAAAATGCCTGTAGGGTTAAGAGATTCAACCAAGTCTTCACAAAATGAAAAATTAAGAGATTTAAGTGATAATAAGAGATTTAAATGAAAATGCTTTGGGTTTATCGATCGGAAAGAAAAAGATTAGGATGATCAATAACCATGAAGTGAAGTATTAAGATGCTTATGAAATTGAAGTCAAGATAATTGCTTTGCCTTGGGCAAAGCAGGACCTTGAAAAATAAAATTTGCCAAAGTTATTTTCAGTGTCTTAAGCTAATTCCTCTGTCATGTTATATGTATGCCCCAATTCAGATGGACTGGAATCCATTAATGGACTAATCCATTTCAAAATATTTTGACTACTGCTCCACCAATAAAATCAGTAACAGGAGTGGGCAAATTTGCTGAATGTGAGAGCCACATCCAATGAAATTCAGATGTTTGAGAGCAACAAGGCATGGACAAAATTTACATACACATTTT